GAGTCAATCACCTTTTATCTGATTCCACCAAACCTGCCTGGCTACAACTGAGGTTGGAGGTTAGATAAACAAACATATAACATTTAAAAAAAAGCACACAGGGGCTCTCAGATTTCATAATGCACAAAAAAGTAGTACTGCGAATGATTCTTCTACTAGTTTACAGCTTGAAATGTTGGGGAAGGTAAAAAGGTTTAGATCTGACAGCAGGTCACAGACTTCAGTTCAGCTTTGGCATAACAGCTTCCACACCCTTGTAGATCTGTCATATTATAACAAAAAGAAAGTGCAAACACACCGTAATCTTGTCTATTTACTCTTGCTGGTTAAAGAATACACTCAGTCGCCTTGTGAAGGATCATGTGGAGTTTTGAGGCTGTAGTTTATCTCATCTCGTTGACATACATGAGCCAGACGAAATAACAGAACAGCACCACAAACTACACCCTGCAAAATGACCACAAAACTCACAAAAACCTACATTAAATCATCAAGACACCTGTCAGAATGATGGTTATTTATTCCCCAGGCCAGTGTAGTGCACAGCTCTGCAGTAAAGTCATTTTAAAGGAGCATAAACGAGGTGTAAGAGACACCTTAATGCCATTCAGGCTGTCCTACTTTGCTGTAACTTTAACGTTGACAGTAAACACATTAACAGCTCGGTAACACAAAGCAAGAACGACACTTTTCCGCATGCCACTACCCAGTTAACCCTCTTCCTGATAGCCTTATCGATTAAAAAAAACCAACAACAAAAAAAAAAACACGATAGCTTAGCTTTAGCCAGAGGCTATCGTTATGTCTGACAGAAAACAAAACAAGTTACCTTTTTCGGTGCAGTTTAAACGCCACAAAGAGGGAGGTGGAGGTGGAAAGGGCTGCTTAACTTACCTTTTCCTTACTGCTCTCATCTATGCTGGATGTCATGATTGGAGTGAAATCGACGAACAGGCCAACAACCCCAATAATAAAACTATCTACAGCCAGGAAGCTCTCTCTCTCCCTCCGCTGACAAACTGTCAAATCGGTTATTTTCGCCTCAACCTCGTGAAAACATTAAAACCCGCCTTAACGCTGATGTGACTGGGCAGTGTCGACTTCACCGATGCACCGATTGGTTTTTAAGCCTAATCAATCATGCCCCACTTCTAACTATGTGACTGTCCGTAAGCTTTGCAAGTTACAACAACGTTACGTGTTGTTGTTGTTTGCAAACGAGCGAAAGAGGGTTATTACGGGGGGTTTATGAGCAGAGGAAGTTTACTAAAATTAGTAAAAAAAAAACAAAAAAAACACACGGATGTATTTTAATGATGCACCGATGCAGATACATGGGTAATGTAGTTTTTTACCGTTACACACCCGGAACCCTTTTTAAATTAATAATAAATAATGTAACAATGCAAAACTAACTTAAAAAAATCTATTACTGTAATAGTAATTATTAATTACATTTAATTAAATTACATTTAAATTTTAGTCGACACAATGACACAGGAGAGTAAAATAATAATTACAAAAATTAACAGGGGGCTAGAATAAATTATATTCGGATATAAGTGCAACACATATTTATAACAGGGGCATTATTGACCTTTTTATAGATTTATTTAATATATTTAACTCATTTTTAAGCTGGAATTCATTTGATGAATCGACGTCCTTCGCCGGAAGTTTGTGCAACCGCGGAGGCGCGTCGTTTGGAAACAAACACATTTGTTTGGAGGAGTTTCTCTGGAACGTGCCGGGGCAAGTACGGTTTCCATAACGAACCCAAAAACCTTAAATGTACTGTTAAAGCATCGAAACTTCTAGTATTCACACGTAGTTAGATTGCTATGTCATAGTCGTCCACGCTTGTTGTGTGAAAAGTCGCCAAAATGTTAGTTATTAAACGCGTAGTGCCCTTTGGAGGCACCATTGTCTCTCAATGGACCTCCCTCTCTGTGACCAATTTCTCGGTTTGTCATTGCCTAACATCCCCAAAGAGACGCAGTCCGTACAGCTCAGTGGACAGTGAGCGCTACTCTTCTCTTGTAAAGTCCACCATGAGATCGAGGACCAGTTCCCAGACCGTGGAGAGCATAGAAGCGGAGGATGAGCACATTTATGGACCTGTTGTCAAAGCTTCAAAGCCCTCTTCCAGACCAAAGGTGAGGGTAGCTAAAACCCTCCATCCCTTCCTACACTGCGAAGAGACTGTGGAAACAGAGGAGCCAGAGTCAGGACCTCCAACCCGGATTGCGTTAAACCGGGGCAAGGGCAGGTCTTCTGTACCGAGTGTGACCCGCATTTTACAGCAGACCATGTCCCCGGATCAGATCTTCTTACTGGAGAGATGGAAGAGGAAGATGATCGCAGAGCTTGGAGAGGAAGGCTTCAAAGAGTACACTAAGAGTAAGTTTGTGTAACGTGAATGTAACACCTACCTGTTGTGTGGTATCTTATAATGTGGGGTTTTCTAGAACAGTGACCAACACTTGTTGTATTCAATCAGATCTATTCAGACAAGGGAAGCTCTTCCATTCAGCGCTGGAGGACACTCTGACAGAAGCAGCGTGGAAGAACAAAGAGACACCAGAGTATCCACCCGACGTCCAGGGATACCTGAAGAGCATCTCCCACGTACTGGAGGACGTCAGTGCAGTGAGAGCCATTGAAAGCACCGTGCAACATGAAACTCTGAACTACCTGGGAGTGGCGGATTGTGTCGCTCGCTACAGGTAAATGTCCTGATTTGCAAGTAAAGATAGGCCTGAGTCTTCCACAACGAGACTTTTCTCACTACACATTTTCTGTCCACAGGGGTGTATTGTGTGTTATTGACTGGAAGACCTCAGAGAAGCCCAAACCCTTTCTGAGAAACACATATGACAACCCTATTCAGGTGGCGGCCTACGCTGGGGCTTTGAACTCCGATGGCAACTACAAATACCAGGTGATCTACTGAGAAACATGATGTGATGATCCTTTAATTGTATGCTTTACACCCAGATTGACTGTCTCTCAGCCTGAAGCCAGATTACTTACTTAACATACAAATTGTAGCTTCTTGAAATATAATTAATCAGCCACAACTTTGCTGATTTCTTGTAATTTACAGGTTGAAAATGGACTCATTGTAGTGGCCTACAAGGACGGATCACCTGGCCATGCTCATGAGTTGAGCTCAGAGCTGATGTTGGAGTACTGGAAAACTTGGTTGGTTCGTCTGGAAGAGTTCACTGAACAAAGGTAAAGCAGTCACCAAGGTTTTTTAATATTCCTTTTAAAGTAATTTCAGTTCTTTTTGAATAAATCATGGATTTTATTCAGAAATGAATGCATTAATATTGTTTGATCATATAGAATAGAATAGAATTACCTTCATAAACTAGTGAAGCTGAAATGATTAGGTAACTAATCATTTGGTAACTCAAGAGGAATTTAAAATCTAATTGATAATTGATTAATGATGTAATAATCTCAAGACATCACTGTGGACTATAGTTACTTGTGATAGCAGTTTCTAATTGTAATTAACCTTTTATATAAATTATGAATTAAAAAACATATTTAATAATGAGCATTGAAGACCCAAAAAACCTTATTTTTTAAACGTATGGTAATAAATCCGCACATTTACATTAAGATTTTTTTCTTTTCATTTCAGATCCAGTCTTGCATCAAATGAGAAAATATGATACGTGATCAGCAATGTCCATGAAACAGGTTATTTGATCTTCAAGCAACTGAACCTGAACTGCAGTCTCCCTTGCAGCAGCAGGAACTCTTTCTTTACCCTCATTTTTGACTAATACTTTCAGTTCATCTCACCAATGTTTTGTGCTACAGATGCACATTAATAAGCTCATAAGTTCATTAGAATATATTACACATACATATTACCCTTCTTTGAGGTATTTAAAGATCATTGAATTGAAACCAGGCTTCCCTGTGCGAGGGATCCTCAGTGAAGCCCAGGTTTTTAAAGAGATTGTAGGAGACCTCATTCTCCTCCTCTATGAAGCAGTACACTGGGTAGCCCTGAGCGTGGAGTCTCTTGGCCATGGTGCTGACCAGGACTTTGGCGTAGCCTTTCCCCCTGTGCTCTGGCAGAGTGTGCAGCATCCCCATGGCACACGTCGGATAGGTCAGGATCCAGGCCACTGGTTTTGCTTCTGCATCCAGCACGCAGCAGGAGGGGAAGTTTGCGAGCATGTTCCGGATCATCCTGACAGCATCCCCCGTCTTTGCAAACTTCCACGCCTGATTCACCAAGCCAACGTGCGATTCGTCCATAGAGCTGAGTGAGATCCCGGAGCTGATGCAGAACAGAGCAGAATTCGGCTTTATAAATGAGCTATTAAGACTTAATGATCATTAAGAAATAATGATTTTAGACACTTAAGATGTCAGTGCATGGGTAGGCTCTCTACCTGTCTATAGAGGGAAGGTCGGATACATCCTTCAGTATCATCATGTGACACACTGCCAGTTTGCAGCTGGGAACATTTTTTTCTGAGGCCACCGCTTTGAATGTATCAACGTGGCGAAGATTGATTCCTTGGACAGAAGTAATGCAATTATTTTTTTAATGGAATATCTATTAACAAAAATCAACGTGTATTTCTTTTGAGTTCTGAAGAAAATGTATTGTTTATACAAGATTAAAGATTCTAGTTATTCAGTCTATTCTAAGTTATTTCAACCATGTGTGCAAATCTTGATGCATTTGGAAGATTAAAAGGTCACAAAGTTGCTCTTTTATTAAGGAACAAGCAGTTAGTTTGTTTTTACACAGCCATTTTTGAATAGAATGTTTCTGTTCCCTGTGATATGAATCCCCTCCACATTTCTTCCTAACTTCTCTTTTCTTATTTATTATTCAGATATTGTAATGGCACCAAGTATGATCTTTGCACTCCTAACTTTTTGTGGTGTAGGAATACAACATAAAATAGTGCCATATCTTTCTCAGATCATTAAATGATATGCCATAACTATGGGAGGACTTTGAACACAATGAAAGAAAAGATAATAAAACTCAAAGCGGCGGTTCAGAAATAATGTTAATGTCTTATCACTGATGTAGGATGGATCATTTAATGGCACATTCCAACACTTAGAGTATAAAGATCAGTGCATTAATGCCATTATAGTATTTCAATTCTCATAGGGACACTTTGTAAGAGCAATGTGCTATGAAAAGAAAGAGAATAAAAGGTAAATGAACTGACTTTATTATTCAAGAGACCATTAGAAGAACAAAAGAAACTTATTTTTATTACCAAGACAAAGGAATCTGGTCCAATCAATAACAGAGGACTTCCTTATGGTTTCCTCTAGAATAGCTTCATCCTTTGCGAAAACCAGTGTGTCTTTGAAGAGATCACCCTTCTGTAAGAACAAATGGAGATGCTGTATATGCAGAAATATATACTATACATATATATTTAATGCACATAAGATTAGTAGTTACCTTTTCATATTGTGGTTTGCAGATAATGACATTGAACTCTGGCCACCTGTCCACTAAAACCTTGACAGGGTCTGCTCTGACCTGATCTGGTCTGTTCATTAGGACCAAATAACCGTAAACCTTAAAAATGAAATAGTTGTATCAGTTATTCAGGCAGTGAGTGTAGTTAAAGGTGTTGTTAAGCAAACAAACATAGTAATATTCGTCAAATGAGAGTAGATCTGACCGGACAGACCTGTTGCGACCGAGGTAAATATTTTTTCAGTCGGGTCTCAGTTATTTTCAGTTGCTCTCCGGTCAGTTCCATGGTCATTTCTGAAGATGTTTTTTCCCCAATCCGGAATACTAAATAAACTGCACCGGGGTCCAGTAACGCATGTTAGTCTGCAGAGTCCTGAGAGTGCAATGTTTCCGTCTGAAGTTGGTTTCTGATTCGCACTTTCGCTGCAGACATGTGAGTTGTGGGTGAAACTCCAAGTTCACGTGTATTATGAGGTGGACAAACTGGTTAAACACAGTTTAAAATTCCCCGAAACTTTTTTTGTGTGTTCGACATAATAGAAAAAGGGATCATTTCACAGCTGTTTCTTCAGACCATAACCTAGAAACCCACGTCTAAAAATAACGCACTGTACCTAAACCAGCCACTGAAGTGCCTATAGATTATTTTAAAGCTTGCTTTGAAAATGCTGTACTTGAACCTGGACTGGAACCTATTGCAGCTTTGACAGTAATATAAAATGGAGAACACAGTCTCTTTGAAACATGAACAAAACAAGGTATGCATAAAATGTCTTTATTATTGGGAACCATGGTTACTAATAATTGCACCGGTGTGTATAAAATGAGGCAAACTCTATGGTATATACAGAGAATATACAGTACAGACATCATTTGATAATTCACAGAAAGGAAAGCATGAATCAACACAACTCAATTTTATTTAGCTCTCTTCTCTAAATACCTGTATGAAAATGTGACATTATTATTGTATTAGTGTCAGTTAATGCCTCTTTCACCTTATAATGCAGTCAGTATATACCCAGGAGAAATTATAACCACTATACAACCTGATATTATGTCAGCGATGCATTCAAAGAATTATTACAAAATCACAATTGTTACAAATCAAATGTTGAACTCGAACCACCCCGCCCTGTATGAGGGATCCTCAGTGAAGCCCAGGTTTTTAAAGAGCCTGTAGGAGACCTCATTATCCTCCTCTATGAAGCAGTACACTGGGTACCCCTCAGCGTGGAGTATCTTGGCCATGGTGCTGACCAGGACTTTGGCGTAGCCTTTCCCCCTGTGCTCTGGCAGAGTGTACAAAATGCCCAGGGCGCAGTAGTCGTACACCAGCATCCAGGACACCGGCTGACCCTCACCATCAGTGATGCAGCATGACGGGAAGTTGCTGATGAGGTTTTTAATGTTCGTGTAACCCCTCTTGTTCCCTCCAAACTTCCAGGTGTTATTCACCAAGTCAACATGGGAAAGGTTAAGAGATGAAATCCTTGATTCAAGCTCACTGTAGGGAAAAAATGATTGAGATAAACGTTAATTTGAGTGGAGAGTAATATTAGTTTACTTAACTCTGATGCAGATTTAACTGAAATATACACACTTTAATAATCTGACTGTACCTGTCAACTGCTGGTGGGAGCAGATGGCTGCTGTCTGGCAAATACAGAAGACGCACCAATGTATAGTCTCTGTTGTTGACTTCTCTGGCAGACGACACTTCTTTGAGCATGGGGGCATGGGAAAAGTCAAATCCTGCAGGACAAAAATGATTCACCATTATGTTACTTTTCCAGTAGTGGAGGAAGTATTCACATATTTACAGCAGTGATTCACAACTTTTTTTGGTGTTAAGGACCCTCAAATTGATACATATTGGGCCGTAGACACACATTTGATCCCTGTCTCATAAGATTTAGTTATTCCATACCTTTCTGTACTGTAGGTTGTCAGGTTAACAGTAAAGAGTGTAAAACCCATGACCAAAATAGTCCTTCTTATACATTATCTTATTGGGCTAACTTTTAGTCAATGCAGAAATAGTGAAACTAAAATGTCCCCTATTTTATTTGGACCCCCTGGAGCCCTCTCAAGGTCCCCTGGGGGTGCAGCAGACTCCTGATTGAGAACCCCTGCTCTACAGTAACTAACTTTCCCTAAATCCTGCATAACTAATGTAATAAAAACATACTTAAAGTACATAAAGTAAAAGCACTCAATGCCCTAAGTCTAACACTTTTAAAATGTTATACTGATTATTGTAATTTTACTGTAGTTTAATAATAATGCATCATACATTTATAGGCTCATCGTACTGTTTTGTGTGTAAAATCTTATTTGTAAAGTAGAAACTAACACTGTCAAAACACTTGTAAAAAGTAAAACAATTTACCTCTAAATTGCAGTGCAGAGAAAGGATAATGTGGCATGAAATGGAGATAGAGAAAAGAAAAGCACAATTATTACTGGATAATAAAACCCTCTCTGCAGGGCTCAAAACTCGCCTCCAATAAGGAAATAAGTTCTCCAGTCAATTGCATTTTCTTCTGTCAGCATTCTCCTTAAAATCTGTTCATCCGTGCTGAAGTATGTCACCTTTTTCATGAACTCCAGAGCGCGCTTGTTCTGTGAAATGAACGCACATATGATGTTAGTGTTAACCAGGTAATAACCTGGTTAAAAGCTGCAGCGCATCCAATGGGATGTGAACTCACCTTGGGGTCAGGTCGGCAAATGATCACCTTAAAATCAGGCCAGGTATCAACGACTACCTCCAGTGTACTCGGTTTATTCCTGTTAATACCATAGAGGAAGCCATATACCTAAAATAAAATAAGAAAGGCGGTGACTGCACATGCTGACATACTGAGGAATGTGTTTTAAATGGCTTGCTTGCGTCTACCTTCAAACTCTTCGGGAAGTGTTTCAGCAGAACTCTTTCAGCGGTGTGCAGCTCTTCTTTGTTTAGGACCTTCATGTTTTTTGGTTTATGAAACCTCTTAATGTTGTTGTCCGTCCTGTCCTGTTTGGCCAGTAATGGCCTTTATGAATCATTTACAGTCGCTCGGCCGCTTGTAACTCAAGGACTCAAACAGTAAAAATACATTTCTACTTCCTGTCTGAATTTAAAAAATAAAAGCACATCTTTTTCTGTTAGGGAACACTTGTATCACTGACCTTTGTTTTATCTCTCTCCTTATTTCCTGTCCTCTCTTTGGATAATAAAAGCACCAAATATCTATAAATACTTTTAAATACTGGTCATAGTGTATTCTTAATACGTCGTTCATATTTTTACTTTGATTTATCAATCACACACCTGCAATATTGCTTTTGGACAGCCATATACTGTAAAGTCACCTTTTTGTTTCACTACTACTACAATCATCCCATAATTACCACTTATTGGTCTAAATCATTAATTAATATATTATGGTACGGTGTAATATTTTGTTAAAGCTCATATTCTGTGTGAAAATAGGTGTTGGAAGTCGCACATAACAAGATAATGTGTGAAAATCAGGACTTAATTGGACCCCAGAAGGGGAAATTCACATTTAGTTTTACCAATTATGTAAAAGAGTAATAGATGTGTTTCTTTTAAATCTGTGCCAATTATTATTTATGAGAATTGCCCCCCCCTTCCTAAATTATACATTTCACTGGATTCATATCCTTATTGGCCAATGTCAGATGAGAGACAGGAATGTTAAAAAAAAACAACACACACACACATTAAACAAACTTTTTTGTTCTCGTCCCTAAAATAATAAAAACATAAAACTGAGATCTGAACAGAAAAAGCTTGGACACACTCATTAAACTTCACATGCAACTAATTTATTGTGGTTTTTAATAAGAGAATCAACAGTCCAGTAAACAAGTGTTTATTATTTGCTTGGTTTAGTAAGTAACGTATTCATTAGAAAGTTGCTCCTCTAAAAGTTAATTGATCTCTACATGGCTATAATGCATTGGGTATTAAACACCGACCTTTAAAGCTCATTCAGTCTATCATACACTGAAGAATCATAGGTATACAATGAAAATGTTAATACTCTTGCGCTTCATCTACAGGCAAATTACATATTACTCTGTATGAAGGTTCTTCTGCAAACAATGCAAAACTGAAGATTTCCCACGTAGCTTGCTTTCTAGCACTTCTCACTTATCACTCTGATGTCATTAATCCATGGGTGGCTCCACACTGTAAATGTGCACTGGTAAGGCTGAGGAAGAGAAAGGATACACATTATATAATCATGAATAAAACAGCAAGTAGCATTAAATCTTTGAGATTCTGTCATAGTCAAAGAGTAACATAGCATTGTTTTGTTTCTAAGAGGACATGATGGAGCGAGATGTCTTCTCTTAAAGCATTGTAAAAGACATCGTGCCCCCATTCCTCGTGTTCAATGATCATGATTATTTCATGATTAGATTTCATTAAAGTAATTCAATATTTTCCTCTTTTAGGGGAATATCATTATTAATAGACTCATGTTGAATTATTTGTTAAACTTAGTCATCTGGTTAAAAATGACTATGATTTCACATTTTGGGTTTCATTATCATCATGAGATACATTTATTATACACCCTGTGAGATCATGTAATAGAAGATAATATATCGGTATGATGTTATTGGTATTTTGGTAACAATTGTTTTCATTTGTTGCGCAGTAACAGCAACAATCAAAAACAGATGGCTCAAAGAAGGGAAGTATAGAGTTGTTTCACAATAGCTTGTGATCTAGTGTTGGAGAGAGAAGTACAACTCTACTGTAGGATGTTTAAACATTGTGTTTAATAACCCGCAATGGTAAAATAATCCCAAAAGCTGAGGTTGTGGCCCCTTAATAAAGTCATTACCCGGGCCATTTCTGGGTCTTGGTGGACGGCACACACTTCCTCTGCATGGTCCTTTCTGCAGGCAGTCTTCCCCATTTTCACAGTGATGACATACTTGGTGCCAGCAACCACCTGTAAACAGAAGCGGGTGGGTCATGGAAATACAGATTACGTGACTAATAATAAAGCACTGTCGCAATCCTACAGCCTGATTTCAACACAATACAAAATCAAGACCCTGTTAAATACAAAGCTCACACCAACACGCAAGAATAAATACAAAATGGCCTAAACGAAACAACAAAACAAAAGAGGTTCTCCTTTTCAGGTTCCTTTTATTTCCTTTTATAAGATAAGTAAAGAACATGTTTCCAGTTCATTTATTTATTAGAAAAAGTGACCTGCAGCTGCTTTGACATGTTATAGAGAGACTGTACAACTGTTCATGCTGATTTGACTGGATTATATGGTGTTTGTATTCAAAAAGGGCCAAACGCTATTTCTCTGCCAACCCCTACATTGATGTTAGGATCCATGCACATGTATATACATATATAGCCAAATACACTGTTATATATAAGGTATATGCTTACAGGCACATTATGGTGACTTTAGGGCAGTTTAGGGGTGAAAGTGAAGCCTTTATACTGTATATAGTTTGTACATACAACACAAATTACATTTTTTTCTTGATATCTTGTATTTTTACTATTTTATTTTGTTATTTGATGTGTATTTTCTGTGTATCTCTGTGTTGGGGCTGCTGTAACAACTGAATTCCCCCAGTGTGGGATCAATAGAGTCTATCTAATCTTACTTTACTGGGTAAGGGCGTTAAGGCCTACTGTAAATGGTGGGTGATATAACATGGCTGACATACAATCTGGATTATCCTGATTTCATTAACTCACTGTTAATCTATAATAAGGTCCGGGCGAATCACAAGTCCAAAATTAAACGCTCACTCACCTGTGTCTGAACCTTCACCACCTGTGCCACCTGGCTGAGGTACATGTCGTTGCTGCCCTTGTTGTGCTCGACGACGGCGAAGTTGAGGGCATTTTGAACCCCTTCGTCGTTCACGTCTGCGTCTCTGAAGCCCCCAACCAACACCCCCAACCCGACGGCGAGCACCGTCGCAAGAACAGGCAAGACGGCCTTCCACATCATGTTTCAGCAACCTGGAGGACTCAAAACAACAGAGCGACACAACAACAACAACAAGCTCCAGACCTTTCCTTTCTCTGTTATATAAACAACGACGTCAGGGCTGGTGACGCGCACTGTGAGTGACACCTCCAGGAGCCAATCAGCAGCCTCTAAAACACAAACCCCCTCCTCCCATCGGAGCTGGTGCCCTGATCAATCTGCGAGTGTGCTCGTTTTGTACACCTGTGGATTCCGTAGCTGCAACCCCCCCCTTTTCTTCTTTTTTCTTCTTCCATTTGTGGAAATTCGAGTCACTCTTTTAAAAGGAGGCAAATAAAAGGTAATGTAGAAACCTGTTTGAAACCATAATGCTTCCATGGTTGCAACGCATCGTGGTTGGATTTTGGCGTTTGTTTGTTCACAACAAGTTGCGGGAAATTAATCAATTGTCACCTTTGTCCTAGTGCATGTCTGAAAGAAAATCACCTTTGGAACTGCGCAATGCTAAGACTTCAGGGTTTAAAGTAAGTAGGCTTTTACCAGTAATACTCACACATTTGGAAAAATCAGTTTTCAATCTGTTTTTCTCTTTTTAAAGTACGATGATAATTTATTAAAGGGGAGGTATCTTCATAAGACATTTTTGCAGATTGTTCTATGTCTTTTAAAATATATTTGTTACATATACATTTATAGTGTATGTGCAAATAATAAAATGTCAATAAATAAATATTTGTACTGCTGTAATTATCTCCAATTGTCATATTTTTTCCACACATTGCAGAGAAGCTTTCTTTGGTTTGGATGCTGTCCAACAGCGGCTTGTAGTAGGTAGCTCTGCCCTGGCAGCAGGAGGGATACTGGCATACATAGCGCACAAAAAAAGACAAGTGAAAACTATTCCTCTTGGTGAAGGATGGTGGGGAGCAGGAGAGAAGCCACTGTCAGAGGATGAGAAAATCTACCCCTTTAAAGTGCAAACCTCAGATGAAGAGATTAAGGTCATTTTGAGCTGTTAAATAAACTTTTCATCACCAAATACCAATTTAAAAAGTAGCTTGAGTGCCAGTCATAAGACAGTAACGTGTTTCTGTTCAACAGGACCTTCATGAGCGCATTGACCGAACCCGCTACAGTGATCCATTGGAAGATAGCGGCTTCCAGTATGGCTTTAATTCCACTCATCTCAAGAAAGTGGTTTCCTATTGGAGACATGAGTTTGACTGGAAAAAGCAAGTCACAGTGCTTAACAAGTATCCACACTTCAAAACTAAAATAGAAGGTACACACAGCCTCCCTACTGAATCAACAGGTTTTGCTGAGTAATCCCTTACAATTTAAATAATTCTCCACTATTTTTTTTTATCTCGCCAATACAGGATTGGATGTGCACTTCATCCACGTGCGACCGCCACGCCGTGAGACCCGGAAGGTTCGCCCTCTTCTGCTCGTCCACGGCTGGCCTGGCTCCTTCTACGAGTTCTACAAGATTCTGCCACTTCTCACCGAGAACCAGGATGGTCTCGTGTTTGAGGTCATATGCCCGTCCATCCCTGGCTACGGTTTCTCAGACGCTCCTCACAAACAAGGTAGATGATTATAAATATATGTGTGTGTTTGTAGTTCAGCTTGAGCAGCAGATGTTTACAGATGTCCTTTCCTGTGTCTTTTCAGGATTTAACAGCCTCGCCGCTGCCCGGATTTTCCTGACACTGATGGAGCGTTTAGGGTTCTCCCAGTTCTATGTGCAGGGAGGAGACTGGGGCTCCCTCATCACCACCAACATGGCACAGATGAAGCCCCAGTAAGACAGCAAAATAAGGCCTTACATGCTACAAGTTACCACTGCAGCGGAATTTCCACCACCCACGTGATTTTTAAAGGGAGCATTGTAACATTGTGAAACAGTGCTTGCAGTCAAATGACCAAAAACCACTGACACTACAAATTCCTGGAGAACAAATAACAGATATTTTGTCAATAGAAAACCATGATAAAAAGTTGCATTTTTAGCTATAAATTGACACTTAATACAGATTTAAACATTATAAGACCTATAATCTTTTTTCAGGTGTGTGAAAGGACTCCACTTAAACATGATGATGTCAAGAAGGGGGTTCAAAGTCTTGTTGTCCCTCATGATTGGTCCCTATCTGCCCTTCCTGGTGGGCTTCAGTCGGGAAGATGTTCGCCGGTTGTTCCCTTTCTTTGAGAAGAATGTCTGGGAGATGTTGAGGGAATCGGGCTACTTACACATCCAGGCCACTAAACCAGACACTGCAGGTGGGGACATACGCTGCCAGTTTGGATGATCATTTTGACATTTGACAGGTCAAAGATGAACCCACTGAATTTGAGAGAAAACTCCTGAGACAAGCTGACTGTTTATAGTATTTTGTAATCTCAGTATACTATTATTTCAGCTCTTAATATATATTAATTGGTGTGTACAGGTTGTGGACTGAATGACTCTCCTGTTGGCTTGGCGGCCTACATTCTGGAGAAGTTCTCCACTTGGACTGATTTCAAAAACAGGGATCTGGTGGATGGTGGGCTGGAGAGGTACAAGAGAAAATTCCATTTAGCCTTTTCATTATTTGTAGCATATAAAAGTATATGGAGATTGAGTGTAATTAATTAATTTGTTGCATTTGTGCAGAAAATTCAGCCTGGATGACCTCCTGACAAATGTAATGATCTACTGGACCACAGGCTCCATAGTCTCCTCCATGCGCTTCTACAAAGAAAACTTACAGAGTAACCCTGATGCAAGAGTGGATGCAAAGTATGTGGCTAAAAATTCATATTATCAACACGATGACCTTTATTTAGCTAATCTGACAACCTTATTATTCTATCATATTATGACTGATAACGTTTTGTCTTTTGATTTAGGACAGATATATTCGTGCCCACTGGATTTGCCGCCTTCCCTAATGAGCTGATGCACATCCCCAAATCGTGGGCACAAATTAGGTATCGAAACATGTACTCCTACACTTTCATGCCTCGAGGTGGTCACTTTGCTGCCTTTGAGGAACCCCAGCTGCTAGCCAATGACATCTTCCAGTTTGTCAGAAAAGTGGAGAAGTTCTGATGTTGATGCACTCTCAGACCGTGGTGCAAATGTTCTTTATTATTGCTGTTGTGTTTGATTTTGATTGATCATTCCAAATATACTTCCTTGTTACTAAGCTCACACTACAAACCATCTCATGATTTGATTGCCTCCAAAATTGCAGCACTGTCAAAATCATTTTCAGGCTTTAATAAATGTAAACATATACACAGATGATACTGGCAATGTATTAAAAGATTGGATTAAAGAAAGCAATATAATAAACCTTAAACCTTTTAAGTTATGCAGATTAAAAATATATTGCACCAATATTATGTGTGTTGTCTTTAACGTCCTAAAAAAACATATTTTATGCAAAACATGTAATGCATGAACATTCTTCATACATATAAACATTAACACACAATGTTCTCAAAATTTCAACAACACCTCAAGAACACATTCAGTATTTATATAGTATAAAAAAACAGTAGTACACCGTACTGCTGGTGTCAATGAACCCACTATTGTTTTAATTGACATACTTTTAATCATAAAGCAGAAAAAAATTAAACTCATAATTCATTAAAATATGGACCACTCAATTCAAAATTCAAGTTCAGAAATCACTTAAACCACCATTAAAATGTAATTTTAGTATACAAGCTCCAGAAAGAGCTCCAATATCTACGCTATGCATGCCACAACCTTTTGGGTCACTTGCCAAAGCCCTTGATAGTCATGGGTGCCTGGAACCACACATAATCCTGCCAGTCTGACCCCTCTGCCCTTGGTTCCTTACAAGTGCTGGGATCAGTAGACAGAGCAATAACTTTGTTCTTTACACGGGTTGGCACTTTAAATTGTAGTTTAGGGCGAAACCAACCAACGCCGCAATCCCTGTGAGCCAGGGCCAACACCGTGGTGGGCACTAAACGAACAGGTCTGGTGTCGGACAAAAGGTCAGCCACGAAAAGAGTGCGGAAGAGTTGCCTTAAGCATGAGGACACCCGCAGGCATTGATCTCCACTAGCCACTACTAGAGCCTCCATGTTGATCTCATACAGCTCTTTGGGGAGGACAAGGGAGCCGCCCATTAGCAGTAGCACACGGGGAACCCTGCTAAGGGAAAATAGCACCTCCAGCTGCTGCAACACCTCCTCCAGCTCCTGAAGGGTCTGCTGACACTTACGCCAGTCCATGTCTGCTGACTGCACTGGCCTCCGACTCACTGTGTCTTTTTCCTGAAAGCAAAAAACACTTTTATTTAATCTCAAATCCACAACATTTCTTTATTTATGAAGTATGAGATGTGCATTTGATCATTCTTCCTATTCACCTGCATCGACGCTTGCTGTTTCTTCTGAGAGTACACCAGCTGGTCATACGTCATGGGTAGCTGCTGTCTCTGATAGAGAATGCACTTGAGGATCTCGCTGACGAAGCGGCAGCAGCCTTCCTGAGTCACGGTGCCGGGGAAGTCCACGTTCACATGGCCTTCCTCCTGTGCTCTTCTCAGCACCTCAGCATCCCTGTCCTCTGTGTTACTCTGTTGTTTACTGGCGGTCACGTCGGAATCCTGCAAACTTCTCTGACCAGAAGTGCCCTCTTCTTGGGTGTTATCTGTCCAAATGAGGAGCAGAATAATGTCATTAGGGTGAGCAATGGAGCTGTCTTGCTCAATTTTAGTTAATGAAATCTAGCAAGGCCAGTGTTCTAATAAAGCCAGCCACTGTCCCCATTTTCCCTCTAAATGTAACATATGGCAACTGTCTGGCAGTGGTGGAGGAATAAGGCTGCTCCTTTACTTAAGCATAAGTACATACTCTGTTATACTTAAAGGACCAGTGTGTAGGATTTAGTGGCAATCCTAGAGCCAGTGTTTGGTTTGTCCGTTCTAGGCTACTGTAGAAACATGGTGGACCTCTGTAAATAACAACTGCCTCTTATAATGGTAATAAAAACACAATGATTTTTATTTTCAGGTGATTATACACTAATGCATACATACCTATACATTTTGTATTTAATTTCTGCCAATAGATCCTCAACAATGTTACACACTGGACCTTTAACTACTCATAATTCAGAATGACCCTTTATTATTATTATTATGTTATATATGCACTACTGGATTAATTATTGAAGGTTAACATGTAAGAAGACTTGTCTGGTCGAGGTGGGGCCAATTTTAACTACGTTATATACTGCTGGATAGTTTAATCCAGAAAAAGAATCATATTTTCTTGTTGACTTTAATTTTTTAAGCAAAATATTCAGTATATTCAGTTTACAATTAAAAAAAACCCCCAATAAGAGTAGAAAACCATCACAATTTAGACTCTGCAGTCAGACAAAGGTTGGAGCTTTTGCTTCACAAAGATTAATGGTTGATGACTAATCAATTAACAGAATTATTGTCTGAGCTGTAAACTATAGTATAAAAAGTGATATTTTCGTCTAAAATGGGGTGGAAAAGAAAAGTATAAAATGGTACAAGATGGAAATACTTTGCTTTCCACAAGTGCCACCTCAGAATATCACGTTTGCCTTAAATAATAACAACAATATTGTACATTGTAATGCATATTTATATACATGATATATTTAGAGAACAAAAGGACCGTTTTAATTGGTTCCCCCACTATCCAAAATAAAAAATACTGTATTTATTTGACACTGCAGCCACTATGTTTGACAACCTGTCAGCTCCACACTCCACTTAGTAACGTTAGAGAGTAACGTAGAGTATCCACAACATCTCGTTACCTACCGGGAGTGATGTTTGTGCAGGGCATGCTGGAGTTTTCCTTGTCGTCCGCGTTGAGCTCTTCTGAATCCAGTCGATGTTCAGGTGAGGCGTCTCTTGACTCACCTGTGTTTTTCGCCTTTGAACACGTTTTCACAGCCCGTGTCGAGAGTTCCGCACCGGGTCGGTGTGAATTTGAGTCGTCGGGAACATTTTGTAAGAGTTTAACGTTACAGGTCACCTTCGCCTCCTCCAGGGTGCCGCCGTCTTTATCTGACGACAACGAAAGGCACCTGTTTATCTCACCGCCCCCGCTGTTAGTACTCGCGTTTTCAGAGTTTGATGTTGGTTTTAATCTATTTGGGTCTTCTGCCATACTTTTGAATGTCCCCGCCGGGTGTACTCTGCACTGCATCATGGGAAATGTGGACCGAAATGCTGAGTTCACGTACCGTGGAAAGACTCGTAAAAACAAGCTTCCACTTTGGAGTTGATGGTGGATTTGCTCTTTCGTGCGCATAAATTAATCAAAATGGGTTTATTCATGGAGGCTTGTTTTGTAGACGTTTCTGTTATGGCTTGCTGAGTTTTTAACACTTTTATTTTGAACGAGACTTTAAAATTTAGTTATTTTGTAACCGCTAAAACAGGCCGTAACAACCACCCTGCCACTAGAAATATATTTCGCAAAATGTAACAGCGTGAATCACAATCTTATAACACTTTTCTGATCATTTAAGTCATTGTTTATCGGCCTAAAATCTGTTTGACCCATGACACAAATAAAGATACTTGTTTTGGTTGTGTTTGAAGTTCTGCTGTCGGTTTTTTTCCGGCCGGACTCAAATGCAATATATTGACTCAGACATTTCAAATTAACATTAAATAGTACACATTAGATACGCATGGATGTTAATGTTGATGTAATGAGCAGAAACTCAAAAAATCCGTGATATTTTACCCAGTTATTGACTAAACCTGCAGGTAATTTATCCTGGCAGGAGATCATCTGAGTGCAAACACTGCTTTGTTAAAAGATAACAAAATAATCAAGAGCTGCATAACAAAAGGGTATTTTAAAAACAACTTTTTGTTTGGGGTATGGTGCATCGATCCCCATTTTACACGCCGCAGTGGCCAGTTTGTGTAATGCATGGAGAACTTGAGGACAGGCCCCAGGTGTGATAATTAGGTGTGAAAAACGCTGCATTGGCGTTCATGCGGGTGTCTTTGAAAGAGGGTGAAGACAGGCTGGGAAACGTGTTCTGTCTGATTTAGATTAATAATGGCTTCAGTGAGAGTAGCGGTCCGAGTCCGTCCATTGAACAGAAGGTGAGTAGAATGGCTCCTTTTTTTATATATATATATCTATTTCCTCAAGCTTTCTAAAAAATGGAATGAAACTCATTCACGTTCACTTTGCCCACAGAGAAAAGCAGTTATCTTCGAAGGTGGTAATTCACATGAAAGGGAACACTACATCTATTCATAAGGTATTTGATCACATAATACAATTACACTAACTTATACTGCAGTAATGGAGTTTATTAAGACTGGGCTGTGCATTTGAAACTCTAGCCTGCATCTATTCGAGGCGATGAGCTCAACGAGCGAGGGAAGACCTTTTCTTATGACTTCTCATATGATTCAAGTGACAGAGGAAGCCCAGCATTTGCATCCCAGGAAAGGGTATGTGTATTCTGTTGGCTCCCATATGTTTCAACCTTTTGCATAACTTTTTTTATACTATAGTGTCAGTTAAAATCATAGTTTTTGGTTGATCTGTCAAACAATCCTGTGTTTTTTTTAACATAACATTTTAACAAACATTTTCTCTGCCACTTTAGATTTTTCATGACTTGGGGTCTGATGTCCTGAAGGCTGCATTTGAGGGTTTTAACGCCTGTGTGTTTGCCTATGGCCAAACAGGCTCAGGGAAGTCTTACACCATGATGGGCCACACAGTAAGAACGTTGCTCAGCTTTCTCAGCACTTTTACTGAGGTTAAAGACTCATTTTACCTTTTTTTTTTTTTATCTGGAGTGGTGTCACAACATTGTCAACGCTGTTGAGCTTACATTACAGAATACCCCAGTAGTGCTAACCCATTGTGCACATACCACATGTTAGAAACTGACTGATGGCAGCCTCATCAGACGTCCCTCCCTTTCTTTCTCTCAATTTATCTCCATGTTTCTCCCCACTAATCAGAAAATGTGATGAGGGCAGCAACCCACAGCTTTTCTCTCCTCACCTTGCACAGCAATGGAAATTTCACATTACCAGTGAGGTTTCTGCCTGTCTACCAGGAGACTTGTGCAAGGTCATCAGCAGAGCTGGCTGTCAACATCCCAGATAATTATATATGGCTCTTAATGCTTACTATCTGTTACTTTGTAATTAAAACAAGAGGGCATGCAGCTCAGAGTGGAATTGCTTTTATGCTTCAGTAACTCCATATCAGATGAGCTGTTGTTTGTGTTGTTCAGCAGTCTTTGCATGTGCTGAGTTGTGGTCACAGCATAGACATAGACACCCGAAATTAAGAGAACATTATGGGAGCAAAATGAAATTGTCATTTAAAAGTACATTATGAGTAACATCATTTTGTAATAAGAGTTCTCAATGTGTAATTTTTCTCCTTTTTTTTATTTTTTTTTTTATGTGTCAGGATGATAAAGGTTTAATCCCACGGATCTGTGAAGGCTTGTTCTACGAGATAACTCATAGAAGCACGAGTGATGCCGTGTCATTCTGTACAGAGGTCAGGTAGGAGACCATCATACATACCCTATGGTGATGCTTCGTATCTTAAAGTCATTCTGCAGGACTGTACATTTAATCAATCATTAAACCTGATGAAAATATTCAAAACTTGCAGCAGGCAGGGGAGGGACTGGTATATATATTTACATATAGCATATAGAACTTGCAAAGTGTACAGCACTGGCTTATGTTGGGGTGAAATACTTAATATAAAAAACATAGAAATCCTATACTAAAGACTAAAATGATATTATACGAAGGTATTACTGCTACAAAAGTAAACCTGGTGATTATCATATTGCCACCACAGATCTTTTAATATAAGGGTTAAGAAACTACTACTACAAGCCTTTTAGCGCCAGTACAACCATGTTAAAAAATAATGTTAAATCATGTTAAATAGTACGTCAGGCCCCAAAGAGTCCATGTGGATCAAGACTTTTAATAGTTTAATTTGTTGCCATTAGAGGGCAAACAAGTTAAAACTTAACATTTATCCTAATAGTCCCATATAGAGATGGTGCGTCATCAGCAGTGTCACTTCAGTTTGTCAGTAAGGCCTCAGTTTGTCTCTCATACCCATGATCCTATTGTGAACAAAACAATGTTGCAAAAACATGCTGAAACAATGGCAGGTCTTATTTTCATTATTTTTAAAATTACACAGAGAACTGCAGTACATTTTGTTAGTGCAACCAAAGGCACTGTGACCACCCGAAAGGAGTGCACACAGGGGAAAACAAGTGTACCTTGTGCTACTTCCAGCTGACAGTGACTCAGGCTTCCAGTCAGAATTAAACATTGCAAATAATTCATTTTCCGGTTAATAATGACTTTAGTTCAGTTTTTTCTCATGTGTTTTGCCCCTGAGGACCACTAAACATTAAAGTTTACCACCTAAAAAAACTAGAGCCCAAAACCTCTCAATTATATGTTGTTACTTACATGCAATATTTAACCTATTGGCTACTGGTACTGTCTTAATAATAATATCTTGGACAAGCAGGTAAAGGCATTAATTTTACTGAGCAAGAACAGTCATATAACTTCAGATAATTGTATGACCTAACTGTAATGCAGGCCTTTTAAAACCAGAAATTACAACATTAAGGCTTTATTACTACAATCAAATAATAATCAAAATCCCAGATGATATCTCGTTTCATCACAGTATCTGTTTCACGGTTACATGTTCCAGCTTTACTCCTAAATGATAATGCTGGGAGATTAAAAAATTTGGATTTTAAGCTTATCAAGCAACTGTGAAACAATTATTTTTCCATTTGGTGTTGTGATGCTGCTGGCACACACAAGGTACATAATTTCATAATGATTGTGAGCAATTACATGAGCAATAAAACTGATAGGAATGTTCAGGTAGGATGTGTGTAAGACTCCTGGCGTGAACCTGTTTCTGAGGAGACTCCTTTCTTTTCTTCTTCAATAGAACAGCATTGATCATGTCCCACTTTCTAAGACCGTGGTCTCCATCACTTGCCCATGAGTGAAACCTCTGGCTTTGTTTTTGTTGTGTAGGTAGCTGCACATTGATCCCTACATTGTAAAACATCATACATTTTGTATCCGTCAGGACGTGATGGTAGTTGCAATCTAATCTCCCCCGTTATTGTTATTGTAATAATGGCAGCTTTGCCTGTAGTCATTTAGAAATAAGCCAATATTGTAACCTGTTTGATTTTTTTTTTCAGTGCTGTGCCAGAAAACAACCTGCATGGCTACAACCACAGGATATGTTCTTATGCCTTTTCATTACTGTCACGCTCTCATAAAGCCTAATTGCTCCATTCCTAGCATTGTTTTTAAAAACAGCCACTCAGAGTAGTCCTTTTTGTACACACCCACCGCAGGGTTGATTGAAGTGCTCTGCCGAAACCTACTTTGCATATTTCTGTTTATTCATTGCCAGTGCAAGCTGAACAATGCATGCACTGTAATTTGGCTTTAAACCTACTGTGCATTTCTTTTCATAGTAGACAGTGAATAGCAACTTGTTTTGTTCTCATTTGGTGCAGTGCCATTCACATATCAACACTGAAACCCTTCATTAATTTGTGCCATTGTGGCTTTGTGTGCAATCTTGGATCAAATTTTGCTTTTGTGTTTCTGTCTTGGCACCAGCTATTTGGAGATCTATAATGAACGTGTGCAGGACCTTCTCGAGAAGAGACATGCACCCACAGATGGTGGAGGCTTGAAAGTGAGAGAGCACTCCAGGGATGGACCCTATGTAGAGAGTAAGACAGGTTTCATTCTCCACCTCTGTATCCATTTCAGTTGAATTGTATAAAATTCAGAAAATATAATACAGAAAAGAAATTCCCCTATGTGTAGATCTGTCCAAGCACTTGGTACGCAACCACAGTGATATGGAGGACCTGATCATTCTCGGCGATGCCAACCGCACCACAGCCAGCACAGGGATGAATAATGTCAGCAGCCGCTCCCACGCCATCTTCACCATCAACTTCACCCAGGTCAACTGTAGTTCTTTAAGTGTATACCTGCTGCTGTGTCTTGCGTTGCCAGTTTAAACTGAAGTAAACATTTTTTAGTTTCCCTGAAAACTCTGGATGTTAGCAAAGACTATCCCTCAAGAGC